GATTTGTTACTTGTAATCTGTCTTTTCTCTTGGGCTGCTTTTAAGATTTTCTCACTGACTTAAGTGTTTCATGGTTCTATTATAATGTGTGAGTGTGAGTTTATTTTTAATTACTCTGCTCAAGACATAGGTTTTCTGACTTAATAATTCATGGATTTTTATCAATTATGCTTAATTCTCAATCATAAGCCCTTCAAATATTACCTCCCTCTCATTTTCTCTTTCTCCCTCTCATCTTTCATCTTTCCAGAATGTCCATTAGATGTGTATTGGAACTTTTCTTTCCCTCTCCCTGTCTTTAACTTGTTTTTAATATTTTCTCTCTCTCCCTCTCTCTCTCTTTCTCTGCACTAAAGTAAATTCCTATATCTTTCAGTTCACAAATTCTCTCAGTATCTATGTGTGATATGCTATTCCACCCATTATGAAGATTTACTTTTAATGACAGTTTTTAAAATAAAGTGTATTTATAGACCAAGATGGCAGAGTAGATAAACACTGTGTGTGCTTCCTTCCATGAACACATTAAAATTACACCTAGGGCCGGCCGTGTGGCGCGTTGGTTAAGAGCTGGCTTGGGATGCCAGAGGGCCCCAGTTTGGATCCCACATGTGAGGGCCAGTGACACTGCCCTCTATAGCTAAGATGCTGAACAACAGCTCAACTTGGAGCTGGGCTGCCATGAGTCGCCAGCAACAGCGTAGGCTGCAGCCCCTGCTGCAGTGGGTTGCCATGGGCTGCTGTGTGTAGCCAGCATCCAGCAGCCAGCGTGAGCGGCCAGCAGCCACAGTGAGTGGCCGTCCAGAAGCCGGCGACTGATCTGCCTCACCAGGGAAGAGCGCAATGATGGTGCCCACTGGGCCAGTGAAGCAACATCCTCCACAACTAGACTGAAGAACAAAACGACAACTTATCTGTTCCCCTTCCCCCAATTCCCCAGCGCTGTTCTCATCCCCCAATTCCCCAATAAAAATCTTTAAAAAAAAATACACCTAAATTATAGAACAATCAACCTGGAGAACCACCTGAAGTTTGGCTGACCAGAAGTTTTATAATTACAGATATATAGAAGACGACATGATGACACTGGTAGGAGAAGTGTAGAAACGGAAAAGCCTGGCCCCAAATTTCCATGTGGTGGTTGAGAATCAGGACAGATATCTCAGCTGCAGAGGTTCCCCACAGAGGAGTGAGGAACCCCAGCCCCACACCAGCCTCTCCAGCCCAGGGTATTGGTGCCAGGAAAAGGAGCCCACAAAATATCTGGATTTGAAAAACAGTGGGGATTCCGACCACCCAGATGGGACAGAAGGCTGCAGGAAAACCAAATATCCTCTTAAATAGCCTGCACACAGACTCACACCCAGGTACTCACCGTGGGCTCTGGAGGACGGACGGTGATTTGGGGGGCATAGGAGACATACTGGGTACAGGCTGAGGTGTGTGACTTCAGAGCAAGGGTTGGAGGACAGTCATCAATTTCCCTGTGTGGTGTTCTTCTCTTGTGCAGCCGGCAGGCAGGCACCATCTTTCCTGTGATTAGCCCATCCCCACACCACAGGCCAATTCTAAGTCTGATTGGTCTGGTGAATTCTACTGAGAACTCATCCACTCAACTCCCCCAGTGCCAGAAGCATTTTCTTGCAATCAGCCAGCCCTGCCCATATTGCACTCTTTCTGAAAAACTATTGGAACCTGAGGGCCCCAGGTGGGTATCAACTAGCCTCAGTGTGCTCTGAGACTTTTGCTGAGTAGCTTCAGGCTCAGCACTGGCACCAAATCAGAGTCTACATTAACCTAGTGACCACAACTCTTTTCCCTCTAGTGACTCCTTGAGACTCTACCTCACACAACTCAGTACCACACAAGGCGTTATCAGTGACTAAACCTTAAAAGAGCCAGCAGGTGGCAGCAGGCATCAGAGTTTTTTGCGGAGCTACCCCAAGCCTGGTACTAGCGGCAGCTGTCTTCAGTTTGCAGCGTGGCCTCTCCCCCGTGCCTCCAATTTTAGCTCAGGCAGCAAACAAGCACCTATAGCAGCGGTTCTCAATCTTCCTAATGCCATGACCCCTTAATACAGTTCCTCATGTTGTGGTGACCCCCAACCATAAAATTATTTTCGTTGCTACTCTATAACTGTAATTTTGCTACTGTTATGAATCATAATGTAAATATCTTTTTGTTTTCCGATGGTCTTAGGCAACCCCTGTGAAAGGGTCGTTCGACCCCCAAAGGAGTCGCGACCCACAGGTTGAGAACCGCTGCCCTATAGATTTGTAGATCCTCCCAGGTAGTTATACAATCTTAACCACGTTCTTTAATTTCAAAGACCTTTAATATTACCATTTCTTTATACAAAAAATTTAGATGGTAATATCCACCATTTATTTGTACTGAGTTTAGAGAAAAATCAGTATCTTTATATTATCAAATTTGTGAACTCCTTGATTGGTGCTACGAACAGACTCTAAGGTAGCATCTGATCCCCACCTCTTAACGTTTGTGCCTTTGTGCAATCCCTGCTTCTTAAATGTGGATGGGTCCTGTGACTTTTGTCTAACAAACAGAATATGATACAGTTGTTAGGATGACACTCTGCAATTATATTCTGCTATATGGCAAAAGTGATAGGATGCCACTCCTGGGGTTATACTACATAATTTAAGACTCTGTTTTGCTTGCAGTCTCTCCTTGTATTGCCGGCTTTTAATAAGTAAGCTGCTATGAATCTTATGGCCACAGGAAAATGACTCTGACAACAACCTGAGGGAGCTTAGTAGTAAATCCTTTTCCAGTCAGGCCTCCAGGCAAGAACTCAATCCTGGTAGACACCTTGATTGCAGCCTTGTGAGATACTGAGCAGACCCAGCTAAGCTTTGTCCATACTCCTGAACCACAGAAACTTTAAGACAATAAATATTTTTAAGCCCTTAAATTTGTAGTAATTTCTTAAATAAAAACTGAAAGCTAATATGAGTATAAAGCCTCACTTAGCAGGTAATGCTTTTTAAGACCCTCAGAGAGGGTCAAAGAGGTGTCAAGAAGTCACCCACATTTTTAAAAATTTGCTTTTTAAACAACCATTTCATTTAAGGTAGGTAGGGAAAGAGATAGAGAGATAGAGACAGAAAGGCAGAGAAGAGAAAAAGTTTTGACAATGAATAATAGCATACTTTTTTCAAAAGTTATCAGATTTTTATTTTATTGCCCATAGTTCTGTAAGGTAATGAATATAAAATACCAATAATTTTGTGACCTGAAGGATTCAATATAGTTGTTATATATTGTTTACTGTATATAGAGTATATATATCCATAAATACTTATACTTTATGATCTGTACATACAAACTGTGTCCACATTTGATTTCTTCAGTTGAAACTAGGATTTTTAATACTGTTTGCATCATATACTAAGGATATAAAAGTAGAATGTTGTGAATAAAAGTTAATTTCAAAAATAAAGCACCAACCTGTTTGGCATGATGGCGTTCCTTTTGCTACATACAGTAATTCCCAATATGCTTGATTCACATTTGATTTATCAATGCCATACTAGAAAATGAATTCTCATAACTAATTTTAAATTAATGCAATTCATCAATATTACATATTTGACCATTTGGGGGTTAAAAAAACTTCACTTTCCAATTATTTTCTTAGTATATTGCATCAAGGTGAGTCACTGTGCACCCGATTAGAGAAATGAAATCTTCTCAGTCCCCACTGAGGTTATAACTCAGTCTGAAAAGTTATACTGTAAAAAATGTACCCACATTTCCACTAACAACAGCTAGTTTTCTCACAACTTGACCTACCCTTGCTTCCTGTACTTTGGTTAAAAGTGCTTTTCTTTGTTTCTAGAACATACTAACTCTTGACTCTAATTCTTCATATCATTACAGTGGAACTTGCTATATCCCTTCCCTGTGCTTTTTTGGGGGTTGATGTTTATTGTAAGAAAGAAATATTACACTAGAAAGACAGAAATAGGTCACAAGAAATGCAAATGACCTGTGGTCTGCTTTCCCAGATGAACTGTGGTAGTTCTCAAAACACTGTTTACATTGCAGAAGGCTTTAAAGTCATCTCTACTCAAATAAACATGATAGTTCTTTCTGCTGGACTTCGTGAAACAGGATTAACAGGAAATGCTGGATTAATGTAAGCACATCTTAACCATGATAACTCTAGTCTACAATGAGAAATAAACACTATCAGTCAAATCACAACTGTTTGCAAGCCCTAGCTGGAAATAAATGTATTGTTAACCATGCAGTTATTAATGTGCCTATATCTGAAAAGTTGCTTATGAAGACCAGGAAAAAGAGTTGCCTTAAATGTGTGTTTGTTTTCCTATTTACCAAAGACAATATCCTTATCCAAGCAGTATCTACAACTGTGCATTTTAAGCATGGGGGGCGGGGGTTGGGTGGGAAGGGGAGGTGGGACAGTCCTGATGATAACTACACAAAATCAGCAAAAGAATAAGAACATCTAGAGAGACTATGTGGATAGGCTAAAGCCAGGAAGAACTGGCTTTCAGTTTCACTGACCATGGGAGCTTCTCCGGATTCAAGCTTCCTTATCTATATGCCTAACGCCTATTTCAGGGAGCACAAGAAAAGCGTCTTTAACCTACTAAGCATTCAGCAAATGGTAGGCAGGATCGCTACTGTGTCTGTGAAATGCACTGCCCACTGCTTTCCATATGAATGATTCTCAAGCAGAGACAACTGGATGCTTCTGAGTTCCAAAAATTAATAGAAAGCAGGCCTCAATTAGATTTTTTTATATTTAATTTTAACATTTATTTCTTACCCTACAAGCTTCCTTACCCTCCCCTCTTTTTTCCCCCCAAAAGTTACTCAGTCTTTATTCATTTTATTTAAGTGTAGCAGTTCCATTCAAGGTCAACTATCAATTTCTCCCAAACACTGAGAGACAGAGAGAGAGAGAGAGAGAGAGA